CATAATATATACGGCAAATAGGTGCCATAATGCTAGTGCAAATAAATATTGTGTACATTTCATATGATGGAATGGCTACGTTTTGCTACAAACAGATAACAATACCCCGGCATAGATGATGTAAACTAGGTTAGGCGAATGGAGTTTTCAATATAGTACCCTATATAAAGTAATTTCAATCATATGTTCAATATTTAAATTGAATTGTTACCGAAAAGTGTTCATTTTCACATTTCTGGATAAATTTTCTTCGCATGAAAATCCTTATTTATGAACTTTCACTGATTCTGGCGCAAAACGTGTATACATGTCAAAATTGTTTCAGCTCTGAAATAATTTATAATTAATTTATCAACTGTTCAAAGAACTGGTGGGCAGACGCCCTCCTTATTTGCTAGTCCAATACCACCGCCATTTTCCATTGTGATGCGAAACATTGGCAAATACATAAAGTGTCCTTTATACTGGCCATTATGCCACTCATAGCTAAACGAACGGATATCTTTCCCTCTCCCCGTTGCCTACCAACCATTGTTATAAATGCCACTTTATCCAAATGAGAAACATATGTAGCCGAGTCAGGAAGCATCAAGGTAAAATATGAAAGTCATGAAAGTTCGTTAATAAACGTTAAGCGATAATAGTATTTATAGGCAATGTGTGTGTGTGTGTGCGTGTGTGTGTGTGTGTGTGTGTGTGTGAGAGAGAGAGAGAGATTTTGTGTGCGCACAAATGTTGTAAAGTGAATTGACGCGCTCTTGAAGATTCCAAATGAGCATATCCACCATTTGAATCATTCAAAATACAGCACTTACGAGAACAATCATTGTTTATTGCAAGTGGAAAACCCGAAGCCCACCAAAGAAAATACCGTAAAGAAGTAACAAAAAAAATCACAACGAACAATTATGTTTGGAACGAGGAATAACCGAGAAAAAAATGTCGATCAATAATATCCATTTTCAAGTTTTCGTTTAGGTTGGCGCATTTTTTTCGGCTATTCATTCTATGGCACGAGTTTTTTTTCCTCTCCACGCTAAATGTTGTTAAGCTAAAAATTCGCTGCTCTCACACTTTGCAAACACTCCTCGCATTTTTTTTTTCTTTCATTCTTCTCGGGCATGTGTACTTTACAGCGTAGACATACTTCGACGTGGCGAAGAAAAATAATATAGAAAAAATCACGCATAAAAAGCACCACCCCCGTGAATGAATTAGTTTCCTTAAATATTCACATAATTATTACATTCATCATATCTGTTATCCGTTGCTTTGACACGCAAGCATTTACCGTTCCGAGTCGTGAAAGCAGCTTTCTAGCCAAATTTTGGTTCTGTTTTGTTTCGGTTCATTCCACATATCTTAAATATCTAATGCATACCATTCGCATGTCGAAATGCCATTCCTGATGGTATGGCATACAGGCGTGTGAACGCACGCATACGATTACAAGCAGTCGGTTAATAGAAAATAAAAAGGAATAAGACGCATCGCGACGGAATTCACATAAAATATATTAGGCATTAGTTAACGGTTTCCAAACGGAAAAAATGATTTTTTTCTTCTTCTTCTGTTGATACAATTTAACCATACTATCGTTACCAATACAAGTGATAACAAAAGTTTAACTTAATCTTTGTTATTCTTTCTCTCCCCTTTGCCCGTTTCGATTTGATCAATCAATAAAATAAAAAGCTTTTGTTTCTTCGTTTTTGGTCTGATTGTCATCGATTACGATTACGATTATCGATCGCGACAGCACATTTTCTTTCAAGTTATTTCGTTCTACACCGCACAGTAACAACAAACAAAAAAAGTAATAGAAAAAAAAACGAATTCGTTATGCTTGCGAACGACCAATGAGAGAGAAAAAACAGAAAGAGAACTGACCGATTGTGATCTAAAAATATATTCGACAAGTCGAAACAGGTAAACGTGAATTCGGATGACGTATTTATGCTCACACTGAGAATACACACAATAAAGTTTACCCATTGTGACCAAGATTATAAAACCACTGAGTTCGCCAATTCAAATAAATCTATTATTTTAACCATTTCGACTCTGCATCCAATGACTTCACTTTTGACTTTTTCGTACACACATCAAGCTATGAGTATAGCAAATGACAGAAAGAAGAAGAAAAAACGAAACGATACAGTCATAATATGAAACAAACTGCTTCAGATAACGAATATATTCAGTTAGGTCATTTCGAAATTCATAAGCTCATGGGCTCATGACACAAAGTTTTTGGTGCCGAAGGCTCGGCCAATTGTACACTAACAGCGCAAAATCACGAGCTTTGTACACACCAAACAAAAAAAAAACAATGTGTGTCGTTGGGTTAAAAATAGACATCCAAAAAAAATTTCCAAACGGATTCACGAAACGTTTGTGTTTAGTTACTGCTTAGTTTTTTCCATACCTTATAAGGTATACCTAGTTTTGAACTGGCTTCGGCTCTATAGCATATTTGAAATATCGCGACTTCAGTATCAAAGCTTTCGGCTATATGGTACATAGGTGGAAGAAAGGAATTTCATTGCATTATCCCTATTGAATATAAAATGAAATGAAATTTGTTATCGAACACGGCGCAAAAAAAGATTCGTCATAATGTTTTATGTTATATAACTTTTGATTCCCCCGTATACTTATTTATATATATTGAATGAGATGGCAAGAGATGAAATCGTTTTCTCTTTTTCCATATCATTGACAACCTAAATATTGATGGAACTATATAAGTGTTCTGAATAACATGATTTGATAGATTGAACGCAAATTTCACAGCACACACACATACATTGAAATAAATGCATAGTTTTCTTTGAAATTTCAGCCATTGAAATCACTCTGAGTAAAATCTGACAGGATAGTTTCATTATCTTAACAGTTTTAATAGCATCGAAATGAAACATGCAAACACACAGTTAATCAACATTTGATTAAACTGAATCGACCGGAGAAAAAAGTATGAAAAAAATGGAGGTTTCAATTATTCCATAGTTTAACGTTATATACATATATATATACAGTCACTCACAAAATTGTCTGTACACCTCACGATTTTCATACAAATTGGCATTTTTCGTGTCTCAAAAAAATATGCTTCGCGAAATCGAACCTCGAAGATTTTTGGTATACTGTAGGTGGAAGGCCTGAAGACCAAAATAGTGAAATTTCAGAATAAAAAATCCACAGGAATTAAAATGGGAGATGA